CTACAAAGGCGTTGTTTCCCTTCTTGTATTCAAACAGCAGTACATGCCGAATGTGTGTCTCGTCGTGTGTCATCACTATAAGGGGTTAGAGTATACTAATCTTTACACATTATATATGCCACAGTAACGTGACGTTTAGGCGGTTCGTTTAACCATTATACGTGATGTATGTTGTTGTTGTTTTTTTGGAGGGGGGGGGCAATGAAAGTGTTCCAAAATGCGACATTAATTTGTTGATTACCTAATATTTGCCACTAAAATTATGGCAACGTCTCAAACAAAAAACAAAACAACAATATAAAAAACAAATAAAACTAACGATACTGTTCTTGAATAGTTTCACAAAGACCTCTAGTTTTGTCGGAATTTTAATATTTGCATCTCCCACATGTAAGGTTTCAGTTCTCACCATCATAATATTAGTAGATATCTGCGTTTGAAGACTCATGGTGCACGAAAATTGAGCGAGTTCCCCTTCCTCTACCCATTAAAAAAATTATCATTTCAGAGATCAATGATTTGCTGTTATCAAACACAAATCTACACAATGGGCTATCTGTGCTCAGCTCACCAGAGGTATCGAAACCCGGTTTCAAGCAGTATAAAACCGCAAACATACCGCTGTGCCACTTGGGGGGAGGGGAGGGGCTGGGATCAATGGGTACAATACTAAAGAGTGTGGGGCGGGGATAGAAATACCCAATGTCTAAGTCTTTGTTATTCGAGGGAGGCGAGTGTTCCCCAAGAAAACCCCACTTTCACTGCCCGGGAGTTGAAAATTCGACCTGATCAATGTACAAGCTCAAGCTTAAACTAAGGGAGAAACAGAGCACTAATAAAAACATACATAGTTATGGATATACATCTCAATGATGAATTAGAACCAGAGACTGCACAGGGATCGTTGTTCACGGTAGTATGCCGGGACATTTGTCAACTTTTGAAAGACTTTCTAGCGCTTTTGCTGATGTTAGCGTTTTGAATAATTTTGTCCACTAATTATCGTCCTACCAGTGTCATAGACAGTCTACTATGCTGGTACTGTCTTCGCCGGACTCGACGCCTGAAAGGTCAGCTTGGGTTTGTTTGTTTCGGTACTTCTCTGGACTTGATGGTCGGATGTAGAGGATTAACAAATTCAAACCCCACTGGGGCACCTGGGGTGAGCAACCGGATGTTCAATCTTCGATTAGATAATATGCTGCTTGACATACACATTTCTAACTGCGGGCACGTTATAAAAGTGGCAGTCAGATCGGATACTGGAATAAAAGTAGCCGAGGTTAAATAGCCAGTCACAGATCCCAAGAACATAACATAACCGTTGACCAGAGGAAAGACCATGGGTTAAATAGCCAGTCACAGATCCCAAGAACATAACATAACCGTTGACCAGAGGAAAGACCATGGGTTAAATAGCCAGTCACAGATCCCAAGAACATAACATAACCGTTGACCAGAGGAAAGACAAAGGTCTAAAACACCTGCCACCTACAATGCGTCGCATAAGGTGATGTTCAGATTGAAAATACCAGACTTTTGATTTTGAATATCTTCGTACATTCTCTATTTGCGATCTTATGAACAAATACGCCATATGCCAGGATTATAAAAGGTTATAAAAGGAAGGCACCTGTCTGTTAGACATTAAACAATTAATGTGAATTAAAATATTTTCAAGCTAATGTATTACCTTTGGCTCGGCATGGCCAGATGGTCAGGGCCCTCGACTCGCAATCTGAGAGTCGCCGGTTCGAATCCTCGTCCCACCAAAGATATTCGCTCCTTCAGTTGTGGGGACGTTATAATGTGACTGTCAATCCCACTATTCTTTAGTAAAAGAGTAGCTCAAGAGTTGGCGGTGGGTTGTGATGACTACCTGTTTTTCCTCTAGTCTTTCACTGCCAAATCAGGTACGGCTAGCGCATATAGGCCTCGTGTATCTTTACGCGAAATTCAAAACAAACCAAATAAGTATTACCTTTACCTGTAAAATCAAGATTGAATGAAAACAGTTTTGAACAATAACTACGAAAACAACATTTTATCATCTACGGAATCACATTCAGAAAAAGGTTATTAACGTTTTAAATACGTAATTATATATTTGTCAAATAGTCAAGAGCGAAACCATTTCCACAATTTATCTATGTTTCCTTTACTAAAAATTAAACTTACCAATTTTTATTACACTGTTTATCAAAGACAATTAACAGTAAAGTGTGCTTACACTGAAATATGCTTATTCATTCTATTATTTCTCTCTTTATATATATATATATATATATTATTTCAGGATTATTCTTACTAATTCACAAAGTAACGCACAAAAAATAATAATATACGATGTATAACCACCACCCCTTAGTCCTTGTATATTGAATATATCCACGTGTTATAAGCTGCTCGAGGCTTTCGGAAAGTTGCTGTCGTAGTAGTTTGAAGTTTCATTGTTTTAAAGACGAAGTTTGTGGCGTAGGGATGGCAACGGAAAGGATACAAACAATCAAGCGGCATTTGGCTGGTTCTCAGGCATCCGGTACTCAAAACAATGGGCCAGAAAAGTGCATACCGAAAAACAGGTTAAAACTAAATTTGAATTTACACATTAGTGATTTAGTTATCCTGGACGGATGTTGCAACTCTACTACGGTACTATCTGAAACTTCCACTTTAGGTCTAATATTTATTTAATCAAGCATAAAAAGTTTATCACTCGACTGGTAGTAATTAGTATTGCCACAACTTACAAGTACTACTAGTAGTGTAGTATGCACTTTTTATTATGAATGGTCTGTAATATTTAAAGCACTGAATTTAAAATTGATATAGTACTGTATACGTGTTATAACTTGTACTGCTATACTTTAGTATAGGCCTAATCAGATCCAAAGCTTGAATTTCGACCTAACATTAGTTGCACTTACAAGTTACAGTTAAAAACCGAGACTCATTCAATCATTGTAGGAATGTGTTTCAGTGTTTAATCAATGTTAGTATTAAGTTCATAAATAGTAAAAAAAAATAATAAAAATTAGATACTGGTAACCTGTTAATTACAATATGAAATCAATACTATGTCCACAATAAACAATCCATTACTAGTACTAATGATAGTAATATTAAAAGTAAGATTAATGAAATTAATTAATACAGAATTTCGTTAAAGAAAGAACCATAAAATGTAAAGATGAAGGCTGTTTCTTAGAGTTAGAGATTTAGACCTACTTGGTTTTTGAAACGTTTGTACATAGTAAGTACCCAGTTTTTGATTTTTGTTATATGTACTGGAACTTTGTATTTTGTTGGAAGACACAACTGAACAGGAGCCTCCTCATTGGATGTAAATTTATATCTTAAATTTAAACAAGTTTGTTTTCTTCACTGTTTGCACCACCCTAACTAAATATAACATTTAGTAATGTATGTGTAGGTCTTTAATAGTATATGAGTATGTATATTATAATATTATTTGATGATGTTATTTTCATGTAACTTTAGTTACTAATGGCCAAAAATTAACAAGTGTCAACAGATCGTGAGAGTTTGTGGACTAAACAGAAAGAACGTCATGACATGTTGTAGTAACAGTTT